TTTGAGCTTTCTAGAGTCAATGTTTGACCCCGGCTTCCCCCTTCCTTCAGATGGGAACTAAGCTGCCTCAGGTCTTTTCATGGAGCAACTTACTTGGCCTCTGCAACAGCTCAGCTGCAATAGCTGGCATGCTGGGGTACAGAGCCATGGCTGCCCTAGTCCCCATCCACCTGCACAGTGGAGAGAGTAGCAGCCCCAGGGCAGCCACATAAGATGCTTTCTTACTCCCCTATGTGGGGGTGAAATGCAGCTCTTGACTGCCCTGCATCAACAGCAGAATAGATCCTGTCCTTCCAATTGTTGGGTACGGAGCTAAAGAACAAAGCTGGAGATCGAAGTTGATGATATAGAAACACTTCACTTCTAGCCTACCTCTCCGAAAACCCAGATTGTGCATTTTTGACTCTGCCTTTGCTCTCTGGAAGTAAAATGATCCGCTTAGTGGTAGGAATAGACTCCTATTACCTTTTACATTACAAGAAAGAGAATGGTGCTGCATAGAGAGGGAGGGCAACTTTGAAACATCTGTCAGACTGAAGAACATCTGGACCAAAAGCTAATGGTGCTATGGTTTGCATACATTCCAAATGATGCATCTTTAAGTGATTTAGCCAATAAGATAGCTAATTGTAAAAAATCCTATTTTTATTCTCATTATCAATGCTCTTACATAGCTAAAATTCAGTGAAGTTGTTAAAAGCTGACACACGGTTGAACAATAAGCTTTTATAACAAAACACTAGTTTGAATTCCACAGCACATTTTTTCAAATATCCGTGATGATTATAGTTTCAAAAATAACTTATCCTACTGGGCATGGAGGAGGATAATTTCAGAGTAGTTTGCCAGGCTATTGAAAATAGCAACTGATATGCTTGCCTAACGCCTGGGAAGTGTTCTGCTCTGGAAGCCAATTTAAATACCACAAGAAAGAGTTATAATTTTTAGGTGAAAGAAAACAGTATTGTGTTTGTTCAAAAGTGCCCCACTTTTTTGTTTTGTCTGTCTATCCATCCATCCTCCATACTCACTCACATGTAATCAATCAGGTCAGAAGAGCTACTTCATTCTTTTCAGTAGAGCTATTCTCTATTAATTAATTGGACTTGACATTTATAAACAGAAGACATTTACTTGATTAACAGTTTCTCCTTTTGATTTCAATGTAGGATGCCCAATGAAGGGTATGTTATAATAATAATAGATCAATAATGTTCTCATGCATGAGAGAGTTGTTGAGATCTTTTTTTTCCTGTGAAGTCAGATAAAGAGAAATCAAATTATATTCTTATGTCATAATGAAATAAAACAGATCTCTTTACTATTGATGGGTGAAGGGCATTTGGAAAACAGCAGGCACTTCTAAACATGCAGGATGTGTAGGGAACAAAGAGGGAAAAGAAAGACCCCAATCCAGCAAAGCATTTAGGCACACGTGTAACTTTAACTACATGAGTAGTCCCATGGAAGTCAGTTAGGACCAGAGTCTCAAAGGAATTTATGCTCCCAACGTTTATTGAAATCGATTTGAGGATCTGGTCTTAATTTTCAAAAGACAAGTGATGAGCACTAGCTCATTTTTTATGTCATAAAAATATAGCATCAGGTTTGGGCAAGATGTCAGAATGTGATCAGACAAATACACGATACATGAGCATATTGACTGAAGTATGTGTAGAGGGTAGATACTTCAGTTCCAGTGTATGGCCTCGTCTGCACTAAAAAGTTAGGTCGCCCCAGCTATCCCGGGTATAGACAGTACTAGCTCAACAGAAGAATTTTTCAGTCAACCTAGCTACTGTCAGTGGGAGAGGTGGATTACCTATGCCCATGGGGGAGCCCCTCCTGTTGGCATAAGAAGTGTCTACATGGAAGCACTACAGCAGTGCAACTGCACCACTGTAGCACTTCAAGTGTAGGTAAGCCCATAATCTAATCATGGTTCCATTCTCTCATCTATGAAATCCTGATGTTACTCTACTAGAGTAACTACCTGCTGACTGTGGCAGAGGTTCTAAGGGAAAAAATCCTACACAGTAGTATTCTTTTGAACCAGCTGGAAATTGGTACCATCATATTGTGATGCTTCCCCGTGGGTACCCGGGGCTGTGAGGCACTTTGCTACCACCTGGTCTTAGCATGAGGAAGCCTTGTCTGTGTCACCTCCACTGGCCACAGGCAACACAAGCACTCCCCTCTAAGACTATGCATGCCCCACTCTGATTCTGCAGATTGGCGATAGGCACACTCCAACCCCCGAGCCCTCTGAGGTCTCCCTGGAGTGTCCACCCCCTGTTCACTGGACACTCAAAGTATTCACAGATTCACTGCTCCCAAAGGAATAGTACAACCCATCTTACCAGGTACACCTCAGACCACTGTTCCCCTTAACACACAGCACTTAGGTAAGTTTATAGTGAAAACAAAGAAATTAATTCAACGAAGTAGAGAGATTTGAGTGATAACAAGTAGAAGTACTGGAAGAAAATAAAATCAAATCATAACACACATTCTAGAACCTAGGCTTAATTAACAAGACCCTCGTGTCTAATAAAGTATTACCAACACTTTCCAGCCACACCGGCTATGATCCCTTTTTCATGAGACAAGCCACACTGTCAGCTTCTCTCCTATGTGAAAAATCTAGACTGTACCTCTGCACTCCCAGGAATAGCCCACAATCCATTGTCTTTACTGGTAAACAGGATCCCCTCCTGCTGTTTATTTCTTCCTGTAAATATTGCAGTGGGTATTGGGCTCAGTATGCAAATAGGCTTGCATTGTGAAACATACAATGTCCAATACACACATGACCAGACAGAGCTAAGTATCTGCTACCTCCTGTTTGAAAGGAACCTGTTGAAGTCATGTCATCTCTTGGTTATCTGCCTTAACTCCAAGTCTTTGAGAATGTAATTTCCAGCATAGATCTCCAAATCCATAATTATTATCCAGCCATACATTTTGAAATGATTGGGGTGACCAATTGGCTATTGGCTCTTATTAGAGACCTCACACGCCACACTTTGGTGAACTTAATATGCATATATCTGACCCAGGGGATCCCTATTAAAATCCTATGAATCCCCTTTCCCTCTGCCAGTTGGCACCAAAAGGTTCCTGGGTCACACGTGACTACTGATTATTCTGCATGGTATCAAAAAGATTTGTGAGATTCGAGGCATGGGTGTCCTTACTGTAATTCATTTCAGCAGGGAGCAAGTTTTCAAAATATCGACTTGTGAGTTAACAGTGATAGTACAGTGCTAGCCTTAGTCATTGTGCCTACAGCACAACCATGTTAGCTGCAAGAAGTTTATAGATTGTTCCGGAATGAAAGATTGAGGGCCTGATTCTCTACGGCCTTGTACCTCTGACAGTGGATGTAAATGCTAATTTAGCCCATGCTTAAGTATTTTGCTGACTCAGGGCCCAATGACAAGTCCTTCTGTCATTGCCTTGTTTAAACCTTGGAAAGCTGCTGCAATAATAATTAGTTAAATTAAGAATAAGTTCCACATTTGTCATCCTCAGACCACTTTATAAACATTAACTACTGTGAAGCAAGTAGTTTTGATCCCCATTTTACATGTAGGGTAACTGAAGCAGAGAGGTTAAGTGACTTGCCCCAGACCCCACAAAGAGGTAGTGTCAGCACTTGGACTAGAACTCAGGAGTTCCTGGCTTCTAGTCCCATGGTCTGACATCCCCATGTGCTCAGCTTTTCCTGTGCTTGGACCGCAGCTCTCAGTATCTCCGGCTTCATCACCCTCAGCAGCGGGAGACAGAATTGGTATTCATTCTTTACATCAATCAATTTTGATTTTAATATTCCTTTGTCCTTAATCAAGTGGTATGCAGTCATGGCAATTCTCTTAATAGGACTCACTTTTCTAGGACTACCTGTCATAAGAACCTAGGAATTACCATACTGGATGAGACCTAAGGTCCACCACTATTCTGTCTGACAGTGGCCACAATGCTTCAGAGGAAGGCATATGAACCCCACAGTAGGCAGAGAAGGGGTAATGATGAGTCTCTGAACTAGCCAAGTGGGGAAGCAGAGAGGTGTGACATAAATGGGTATTTCTATTCAGACTGCCTTGCTAGTGCTATTTATCTGAAATTATTGGAGATATCGCCTTTGGAAATCCTAATTGTCAGCTGTGGTGTGTTTCTTTTTGGATGCTGCGCGTATCACCACTAAATTTCTTCTCCCTATCTCTGCATCTCTGCTTGAGTTTTTCTAACCAAAATAAGGTGTAGCTGCTTTAGTATCACAGGTGGTGCAGCCCAGCCAGACCAGTTGTTCAGAAATGTTGCCAGGTTAAGTTGGCCACAAGTCAGTATAATACCTGCCAAATCATATAAACAGTTAAACTCTCAACTTCTCACATTCACCACCTAGAAATTGTTTGAAAGGGGAATAAGTCATTGAACATGCAAGCACAAAGAATGCAGGATGCTTAAAATTCCATATCATAAACACTGATACCTCCAGGGCTTAGTTTCAGAGCAGTTCTAGATCTCCATTCACATTGGTAATAGCCGTATGAAACAAGCCAGCTACAATGTCACCAACATCTGCTAAGCCAAATGACCTAATGAAAAAGTACAAAGATGTATTTCCCAGGAAACTGCTCTAATCCATAAAGTACAAGAGTAAAATGGACATTCTAGCTCTTGTAATACACACTCCCTGCCGCCCCCGGGACCAGCTGGCTAAGGAGAATGACATTGAAACATTTAGGCATCTCCAGATGCCTGAAATGAGTCTCCATCATACTGTTTATGAGCCACTGAGCTACATGTAGGGCTCCATTCTAAAACTTACCCTATGTGGCATCTGTGCATGGACCAATAGAAGCACTGCACTGAGAATTCTAAATGATGTAACATTCATATATGGGACAATTAGGACAGTAAATTTCATCCAGGAGATGTTCTAGTGCCCTACATGATTCTGTTTGAGTGTGTGTATGTGGTTTTTCAAACGGCAGGATGCCATAACAGAGGAAAAGCTTCAGAGGGTGAAAGAGCGATTCATGTCTGCCTACGATGTCACTGCAGATGGACGTTTACAAATACATGAGGTAAACTCCCAAAATATCTGTTTTTTTGAAAGACAATGAAATTAGAAAATGGATCATGCATAATTGGGACATTGGGGGGTAGGGGAGAGGGAGCGGGGACACAAAGATAAGCCAGGTTGTGTGTAAATTTCAAACTGCTTGCTCAAAGTGTAATTTACATGGAAACAACATGGTCATCTTTTATTTGCTGCATAGTGTCACTAGTCATGTAAATTTGCTCTAATCTTTACCTACCTCTTTTAGCTTGCATATATGATCTTGCCAGAGGATGAGAACTTTCTGCTGCTTTTCCGACGGGAAACACCCTTGGACAACAGTGTGGAGTTTATGCGGGTGCGTGTCTTTTGCTTTCACCCCTTGTACGTTGCTGTCAATTATTCTGAATGGCACCTATAAGCAGACTCTTATTTAAAGTAGATTAGTGTATTGGACCTCTGTGGAATTTTGTACAAGTTCATGTTCAGTAAGGAAAATAGTGTTATTTTTGAAGGCTTCATTTTCTTAGCTGTTGAAGTTGTGAACATTCTGGTAGGAATGCTCAAAAGACAGAGATACCATAGATAGGCTGGACAAAACCAGGGGATGCATATAGTAGATGCTTGCACTTTGCAGACTTTCTTAAAGATACATGTCCATTTTCTCCAGAGATGAAAGGTTTCTGTAGCAACCCACTGAACAGTTTAACCCTTTAGAGAGCTGGGGTCAGATCCTTGGCTTTATCATTTGTGCACTGGACAAAGATCAATGGGGATTGGCAAAGAAGGTTTTGAGCCACCTTGGTACTGGCACTCGTCCCTGATTCTGAAGATGTCCGTCGAGTTCCAAGGCACAATTTAGAGTGGATTGAGGGATTTGCTAAGTGGCCCAGGGGTGGGGCTGTGGACAGCCAGTGCAATTCTGTCAGTTGGGGAGCACTGGGGTATAGGGATGCCCTTGGAATGCCTCCTTTTCCTTGCCACACCTCTGCACAAGGGGGGCAAGGAAGGAAGCAGAGTGAGAGCCATTATGGCAACTCTAGACCACCCAAGGAGTTCCCCTACATTTGGGGAAATCAAGTGGCCTGATCTACCAGCTTTTGAACAGCTTCACAAATCTGGGGGAGGATTTGGTCCTATATTCTTGGCATTGCTAGCCGCTGCAGAAACACTATATCAGCCTTGCAACACTCATGAAAATTGACCAGCCCAGACAAAATTTACTTGCTTACCCTTTGTTGTGATGATGGTTATAACAAAAGATATTGCACTTGCTCATTAAAATTACTTGCTCACAAAAAACAAAAATACCCCACCTGGGTGAATAGCCAAACAGAATTTTGCATGACTCCTTCATAGACATTGAGCGACTTACTCCTATAGGAAAAACTCCAGACTAGTGAGAGCTTTTAAAAGCCATTATTAAAAAAAAAACTTTATTTTTAAATATATTCCTCTACTTCAAAGGCTTGATTTCCAAACTGAATATATAATCTTGATTAACATGTAAATTGGGTGTTTGTGGACACAATGACCAGTTACACAGGCAAATTACCACTTTGAGTATGCAACCATGATGGCTTTGTGCACAAATTAGGTACAAAATTTTGATCAGGTTCTCAGTCTGATTATATTTTTCCTTTATAGAAAGAGACTGTCTGTAATGAATAGCTGATTGCAGATTCCTTTTTTCCACAGCGTGCTATACACAGTTCTGTCCACATCAAAATAAGAGTAAAAAACACTGTATGTGGATAATTTTACTTTGTCCATAGTGAATTAAGTACTCAATAATATGGCTACATGCAAATTATGGAACTGAATGAGATCTGATCTAGAGCTGTATGAGATAATCAACTTATTTGATGATTAAGTGCAAAATTAATGTGGTCTTACCAATTTTTCCCCTCCAGATTTGGCGCAAATATGATGCTGATAGCAGTGGATTTATTTCAGCTGGCGAGCTCAAAGTAAGTTATTTTATCCCTCTCTTTGGGCCTGATCTATAACTCACTGAAATCAATGGGAGTCTTTCCACTGGCTTTAGTAATTCCACTGCCTTTTCGTGAGCTTGATAAATGGCATTTTAAAATTGTTCTGTAGCAATCAATCACTAGAGAACACATTGGCTGTAATTGTAGCTGCTAGATCTGTGGTTCTCTTGCATGGTTGTGTGAGGAACTGGCCAGTAGATCCTCTTATTTGTGAACCACCTGAGCTCACCTTTGTGCCCCACTCCTTCCCCCCCCCCCCCTCCCTAACCTTCCTCCCCCCCCCCCCCCCGACCCAAACTCACCTCTGGACTGCTGTGGAGACAAACACCAGAGCACTCCTCCATATCTTACAAATGTGCACAGTCCCTAGCCCAGCCTCCCCTCTCCAGCCCCGGCAGAACAGAGCCACAGCAGTCCCATTTTATTAACTAGCTAATTACTTTTGTGCCTATTAATAAATGGTTTTCTGTGCCTGCAAAGGTGGGGGCAGGATTTAGCTCAACATTTATTTTATTTTCTGGCCCAGGTCCGATTCAGGAAAGCACTTAATCAAACACTTCACTTTTCACCACATTCAGAAATCTATCATTGGTCTGCAAAGCGCTTGGGCAGCAAATTCGGCAATGAATCTTGGTCACGTGCCATCTGACTGTAACCCCTATGTATTGCCATCTTTAGACTTCTGAGCCATTGGACTGGCACTTCGAATTCTTCAGCTTAATGTTGAGGGTCTGTCAGCAGCCAACACAGAGTCATTAGTCCTTAGCCACTCGTCACAGTACTGATGTAATCTGTTTGCAAGAAACTTATGTTGCTATCAGCGTGGCAGGACGTTATGGTACTGATGACTTTGACCTCATCTCATACTTCCCTGATGTTTCAAATGGGTTTCTCTAACAACCTGCGATGTAGATGCGGTTAACTTCAGACTATGTCGCACATCCTTGACGAGTGCCTGCTGGCTTACTTCAACCGCAGGCTACCGGCTCTTCACCTGGCTGATGATGATGCTATCAAATGGCTGGGCACACTGTGCATATGCTGAGAGAGAGCATATGTTTAAAGTTAAGCACATGCTGAAGTCCCATTGAAGTCTGTAGGACTTCAACATATGCTTAAGTGTGGATTTAGGTGATTAAACACCTTTAAAAGTCTGGTCGTAAGTGCTTTGTTGAGTTTGGGCCATAATGATTTAAGATTATTTAGAAAGTTAAGTGTTTGGGGAGTAATAAATATCACTTAAAAAAAATCCACTGTCCCCTCATACAGCTGATCCTCTAATTCACGGTTCCATTATGTCTGTTACAGGAGAATCTGATTATTTTAAAATATATTTTAACACTACATATAAACTAAAAAAAGTAAAAGATCAAATAAATTAAAATTAAATTGAAGCCAATGGAACTCCTCATGTACTCAGAGTTAGGCTTGTGTTTCAGTAACTTGGTGAATTGGGGCCTCAATTTTTAATATTATTCCTTGAACTCCAAAGGGTAAAGTCTATTACTCTGATTCTTTTCTGTCAATAGGACTTCCTGGGAGATCTCTTTTTGCAGCACAGAAAGATGATTCCTGAGGCAAAGCTGGAAGAATACACTGATACAATGGTAAGCAAAGATAGTATTATTTATTGTGACTAGAATTTTAGACAAATCAAACTCTGTCTAAACTTGTTCAAAAGTTCAGCTAAGGAGGTACCTTCATATTTACACAACCTAGACCCAACCCTCAGCTCCCTCTCCCTGCATAGACGCCATCTCTCCCAACCCACACATAAGCTTTCAGATCTCTTGTTCCTCAAAACCCACAATGCACTGCTAGTTCCCTTCTTCACCCCACATCCTCACAAGCTTTCCAGCTCCTTCCCTACTAGTAACAGCCTTTTGGGTAAGCAGCAGCATTTTGAAATTCACTAATCTAAGCCTGATCTTCAGGAAAGAACACACACATACTTTAAATCATTGGTGGTTACGATGTGTCCACAACATTGTAGCTGCAAGCAAGCATTTGTATATGCAAAATGGGTAGTTGTGTGCATAACGTATGTACCCATCTGCTTACATAATCAGCCATTTTGCATGCACAAATGTGGGGTTTATGCAAACAACTTAGGTACCCACATTTGAAAATTATATGCGGGGTTTGTGTGTGTGTGTGTGTGAGAGAGAGAGAGAGAGAGTGCATAAGAAACAAACTCAGAGAAAAATAGTTCATTTCTGATGTCAGTAATGAAGTGGAAGATGTCATCTGAGTTCCATCAAAGGCTTCAACTAATGCTACTTTCATAAACAGTTTGTGGACACATTCATAAGCACCCATGACTTCAAATTTGACCATTTATATCTAACTCAAGAACTAATTTAACTTCTTTTTGTTTTACTGTCAAATCTCACATGTCCACTTATGACAGTACATTTCCACTCCCCCCAAAAAGGGATGAAATCAGACTACAGAAGTAATTTTATAGCAAAAAAACTTGAAAATAGAAAAAAAAATCCCCACAATTATCATAAAAGTCATTTCAGGAGAAATTTCTGGTAGCAAATAGCTTTTGCAAGGCTCCATTAAGATTTACTTCCCTGGTGAGTACTCTGAGCAACAGTTGGAGAGTAAGCAGGGCCGGCGCAACCCATTAGGCGACCTAGGCGGTCGCTTAGGGCACTACAATTTGGGGGGTTGCGACCACGGCGGTATTTCAGGGGCAGGACCTTCCACCGCCTCTGTGGGGGGCGGCATTTCGGGGCGGGACCTTCCGCCGCATAGAGCAGCAGAAAAGCTGGCGGCGCTCCTGAGAGTAAGCAATTTGAAATTTGTAGAGAATGGTTAGCTCATAGCCTCTGACTTATTTCCCCTTCCTATGAGTTTCCCCCATAATTTCCCAAGACACAGCAACTGCCATTGCACATAATATGATTGCTAACACAACAGATGCAGTTAGATAGTAATACAGTTGAGAAGAAACATGGTCTAGTGGTTCAAGCATGGGGATGGGACTCAGAAGTTATCTGGTTTCTATTCTTAGATGCTCTACTGTCTTGCTGTGTGTCCTCGGACAAGTAATTTAACATCTCTGTGCTTCAGACTTGGAAAAATGGCTGCTTTAGTGTATCTGGAGATGCATAATCTGAAATGCAAATATGCAACAGGAGGAAGAAATCTGCAAAGCAGTTATGCCAGAAGAACTTAGGGTGCTATCTAACAGCAAATTAGACTTGAGTTTGCAATGCGATATTGCAGGGGAAAAAGTACAATGCAGTTTCGGGCTGTATATGCAGAGGTGTAGTGTCACAAAAGAGCACTGTGATAATCCTCCTCTCTGTGATTCTCAGGCAACTGCATCTGGAATATTGTGTTCTGGGCACCAAATTACCATAATACTGTTGACAAACTGGAAGGAGTTCAGAGATGAGTAGGCCAGAGGGATTCATTTACTAGGAAAGATGCAAAATATTAATTATGTATAGCTTGACTGTGCTGTGACTAATGGGCACATTGTAACAGTCCACAAATATTTGAAGGGTGTAAATATCTAGAATGGAGCAAATATAACTTGGAGTAATGGGATGAAACTCAGAAGGGGAAATTTTATCTGAACATTAGAAAAAATGGCAAATCATTAGAGTGTGGAATAGACTCCCTTGGGAAATGATGGAAGCCTTATCTTTTGGCACATTTAAAACTAGACCAGACAAAGTTTTAGTAAGGGAATAATAGGAAACAAACCTGCACTGGCAGGAAGAGAGATTAGCTAACCTAATGTATACCTCTAATCTCTAGATTCTAGGATTCAGTTTCCCCATCTGTAAAATGGAGATAATAAACCTTAGCTATTCCACATTAGTACAGTGGGATTAATTCATTAATATTTGTAAAGTCTTTTGAAATCCTCAAATCAAAGGTACTATAGAAGTGCAAAATTTGATTATTATTATTAATCATCCTGTCTATCTAGAGAGAAAGACACATCTTGCAGCTACTGCACTGACCTGGGGTTCAGGAGTTCTAGGTTCAGTTCCTGGCTCTGCCACAGACTTCCATGAGGAAGTCACTTAATTTCTCTGTGCCTCAGTTCCCTGACTGTAAAATTGGAATAATTATACTTTTCTCCCACTTGTGTCTATTTAGATTGTAAGGTCTTTGAGGCAGAGACCCAGAGTAAGTACAGTGCCTAGCACAATGGCACACTAATCTCACTTGGGGTCCTAAATGCTTGAGTAAAAAAGAAAGAAAGAAATAAAAATAACAAATAATATCATGGTGTCAATAAAATGCGTGATGACCTAAAAATGTGTCAGTCTCACCAGGAACGTCAAAGTCTGTGCATCGTGGCATATATAGCCTGTGGCTGGCTGCACACATCTCAAATACCCAGTGACTAGATGAGTGGGCCCCAGTGCTTCTGAAGAAGTGAATAAAGGACATACAGATAGGTGTACTATTTTTGACAACATGAAAAAAGCAGCAGTCTATGATCCCATGCTGGGTATTTACAGCTTCTTGCTTGTGAGAGAAGATACAGGATAGGTATCTGATTGATCAAGTGATGCAAACTGTTGCTCCTATTAATATAATTGCAGCCCAGATGAAAGGAAGGCTTTGCAAAAGTTAGCTATTATTTTCTGAGGTCCCAGAAATGGGCCAGGTGCCTCACAAAACAGGTGAAGATACTCTCCCTGCCCCTTTTAATTACTGCTCTGGGCATTAGCAGCACTATGCTTGTCTTTGGAAGACTGCCTCCAAAGCAAATGATTTTAAAATCAGAGCACTAGGATGGAAAAGATTAGATTTGGGAGTAGGGCCTGTAGCCCTCCCCACCCACCCTCTCCAGCCATGCGACCTATGTCATAAGGATTTGTCCCTCTGCATACTTTTATAACATATTCTGGGTCAGGAGGACAATCTTATGGACCAGAGAGTGACTGCAGAGAATGTTTGTCTTTCACTGTGGAAATTGCTTTCATAGGCACTGACATCATGGTAACTTTGCTGAAGTTTATTCTACGCTGCTTTGCCGTATAAATTCTATTTCTGTGTAACCACCACTTTCCACGTACCATAATACATACCCCTCTTCTTCCTCATCTTTTATCCATCCCTTAAGTGACATAGATCATCTATGTGAAACACAAGGCTTGTCTACATGGATATCTAGTTTGCTGCAAGCTGGGATGTGCATCCACCCTGTGCTAGCCCTCTTTCGAAGAGGCTAAATCAGAGCTCATTAATGAACTGTTAATACAGGTCAGTAGGGTTCACATGGACAGCTAGTCTGCGGGAGATTAGTATAAAGTAGAATGACTCCCCTGCTTGCTGCAAACTACTTGTTCATGTAGACAAGCCCACAGTGTCCAAGGCAGTTTCTTTGCTCTATCTGTTTTCAATGTGAATTGGAGCCTTTTTCCCATTTTGAACACCCCTGCCTGGGTAATGTGGATTTTTCTCATCTCCAGAAATGCGTTTCAATTTAGCGTGTTGCTTAGCAGCCATGCATTACCAGATCATTCCATTTCTTCACAGTACTTTATGATCTTTGCATCCTTTTTGCTCCTTCATCAAAAGACTGTTGATTGTGATTCAGGGCTTACCAACAAATGGAAAGTGGTGAACCCTCAGGGATAGAAAATGGGCAGTGCTTTCACTAGTGTTTATATGGGCACGTTATGTAGGCAAAATACAATCTTCAGGAGCATCAAAGTCATTGGAGATAGTCATGATGGAAATAGATGTAACTGCAGGATGTTTATTTTCTTAGTGGTGGTGGCACTCTTTTGAGCCAAAAGGAACAGTCGAAGTTCAAGGGATATAAGGAAGAGGAAAGAGATGAAATTAAGCAAGGGAGAATTTAGGCTCAATAGCAGGACGAATGTCTAACAGTAGGGCCTACTAGACAGTAAAACAATTTCCCAAGGAAAATGGTCACTCAATAATTTATAATCAGACTGGAGATTATATTCTAGCAGTTGGGAGTTCTGAACAGTCTAGGGCACAATCTTTCATTGGCAGAAAGATGAATGAGATGATTTAACAAGTCTTTTTCATCTCTAAGTTATATGGTTCTGTGGAAACCACCATATGCAGTGAGAGCATCCTCCCTATCCAAAGCCCAAATCAGCGAATTAGTGAGGGAGATTAACTGGCAGTTGTGGGATGAAATTCGCAGCCTGTGGCCATGGGAGTTCAGCACAACCCACTGCTTTCACTGTGCCAATTTATGGACTGAAACAAAGCTTATTGCACCTCTCTGTTTCCTCTGCTGTAGAGTAGGCCACCCCCAATGGACTGTTCCATAGATTGTAGAGGGTGGGGCTTATCATGTGAGGTATTGAGGCCCTTTGGGAAGTCAAAGTGCAGTGCTCTGTACCTTGCAGGGCTGGGCCCATGGTGGCGAGGCTTCTAGTATAATTGTTCTAACAAAGAAGCTCCTATTCGCAGGAGGGCTAAAAGGACACTTCTGTGCTGTGGAGGCTGGCTTTTTTAGAGGCTGCATAGGAGTGAATTTCACCCTCTTTAATTTTTGTGTGTGTATATTTGCCTTCACACACATGTATGCATATATGTACAGCTAGATACATAGCATTTTGCAATTCCCCATCATTCAGGGAAATTA